GCGTTTATTCTACAGAAGTTATCAGCATGTAGGAGTCACCGTTCATCAAAATGGTGACCATCCGAGCGGCTCGCAGGCCCCTTTTATGCAGGACTAAGGGAATTTTCCAGAAGGATTTGGTAATCTCTAATATGATTCATAGGGAGCAAAGCAGTGATGTAAGCACAGTTTTGATTGGTTACTAGGTTAATTTCATTATATTTGGTAAGACCTTGGAGAGTTCTAAGATGTTCTCTAACGAAGCTGATCACAGCTGCCTATGGAAACTGACATTTTTTTTTTTTATTTCTATACAAGATACTTTCATCCTCCCTTTTTTCCTTCTACCTCCATTCTTACACATACTTAAAAGTATCTTGACAGAATCTCTTTGAACCACTTTATTTTCTCTAAGCTCTCTTTTGGGAGGAACCTAGACTAAGCAGCTTATAGCCTAAGTATTTTTGCATAAGATTGGTTCCTTTTCCTCTATATTTCCTTGTTTTAGATATCATCTGAACTTTCACCTTGTCCCCTAACTTTACTTACCTCCAGTTTACCCACAACAATGTAGGCAAATAGGTTCCATGTGACACTCATCTGTAAATGGAAGTCAAGTATGGTGATACACACCTATAGGCCAGCACTTGGGAGGTGGAGACAGGGTGATCACATGTTTTAGCTTGCCTAGGCTACCTAGTAAGATCCTGCCTCAAAAATGAGTGGATGGATGAATACATACATACATACATACATACATACATACATACATATATACACAGTTTGGTAGTATTTAAACTTAAATAGCTTTTAATGTGGACTATAATAACCTGGAAAAGGCTCAGAAAAGTTCATGATTTGAGCTTCATCTAATTCTGCAGCCTCAATCTCTATCCAGCTATACTGAACTCCATGCACCTGAGCAACAGAGTGATGCTTTCTTCCTAAGATTTTACTGAATTTGTACTAAGTTCAGTTTCATGAACTGTTGTAATGCACACAATTTGCTTCATGTTTGAAGACACTTGAACTATTGTCCTTTATCCCTTTTGTATCCTCATCCCATGGCCTGGGTTAGATGTCAGACACATAGCTTTGGTTTTGTTTGTTTACTTGTTTTTTCTCAGTCAGGCCTCCAATAGCTCAAGGAGGCCTCAAACTCACTATGTATCTGGATATAACTTTGAACTTGTGATATCCTTTTCTTCCTACTGATGCCGCCAAAGCATCAGGACAAGCACCCCCTAGCTAGACTCTTCTTCTCTTTACTTGTGTGTCTGAGTGCATGTCAGTATGTGTGCCAGTGACTGTAGAGGGCAGAAGATGCTATGGGATCTCCAAGAGCCTGTGTTTCTGGCAGTTGAGGGCCACAGGATGTGGCTACTGGGCACTGAACTCCAGCCTTCTGGGGGGCCAGCGCAAGCTCTTAACCACTGAGTCATCTCTCCAGCCCCATTTTAAATACACATCGACTTATCTAATCTCATACTAAATAGTTTCAGTAAGAGTGTTAATTTCTCTAAACTTTATGGGTTTGAGCCATAAAATAAACCTGTGCCGACATATTGCATAAAACCAAAATAGTATAAAAACCTATTCTTGAGGTACTGTGTTGTGCTTTTACACACACTCTTTTCAACCAGTGTGTTACCCAGTTCTTACTTGTTTACTAATCTGAAATAAAGAAACATCATCGATGGAAAGAACTATGCTAACTTCTGCGGTGACCATGGGAGATGAGGATCCCTCATTTTATTCATGAAAAAAAAAAAACCTAAGACACAGACTTATCTTAAACCAGATATGGAGTAAACACCAATGCCATAGTCGGAATTCGCAAAGCTTAGCACTATAGCTCATGTTACGTTTTAAAGAGAGAATTTAATTAATTAATATATGGAAGGCACTTATGCCAGTGTCTGGAACATGGTATAAACCAAATAAATGGTGGACATTATCAGTGCTACTATAATGAGTTTAATAATTTGGTTTCATCTCCTTTAAATTAGACTAGTGTTTCACTTAAATAGCCGGGGTTCTCTTTGAATTAGGTCACAGATAAATTTTCATTCTGGTGTATCTACTCAGTAACTTCTGGTTTGTGTGCAACATAAGGTTTTACAGGATGTCCCTGCAATGATCAACTGCTCTTGCTGCTACCCTTATTTCTTAAATTTTCCTTAGCATTGTCTTTATGTAGCAAACTTTTCTTCCTTATTTAAGAATACTTTTAATGATGGCTTCCTAGAAATAAGAACTATATCCTACAAGATTGTTCTTTGTCTATATCAGGACTTGTTTAGCTGATTCAACACACTATATGTTTAAGGAATTCTGTTTAACATCTTGTGATTTATAATTTTTATAAGTTTATCTATGTGGATACAAACTCTTACAAAAATTTATAGAAAATAAACCCTATTGCTTGTCAGCATGACAGATTTTTCAAGTGTTTAAATTGTTTAAGTGTTTGTACCCCTATATATATATACCCTCGGTCCTTCTTTGGGCCCTTTCCTCCTTCCCAATTTTGATGGGGAAATGTCCCAAATTTTGCTTTGAGCATCTCTTCCCTGACAAAATTGCCTGCTTCTGCACCCTCTGAGTCACAGTCTACTAAATGCACTCCATTGTGCCTATGTCCCACTTAATGTGATGATTCCAGACATGACCAGGGCAGAGCACAGAGGCACTATCACTTTCCTTGACCAGAGCATCTATTTCCAGCAATTCAGCCTAAGGTCACATTAGCATTTTTGGCACCAAAATACACCATTGGCTCATGCTGTTGTGCTGTCGACCAAATCCTCCATGACTTTTTCACATGGACTCCCATTAAATAAGGCTTCCCACATCCTGTACAAATATAGACAGTAATGTGCAGTCTGGTGAAGTTATTTACATAAGTTCCTATTAAACTTTAGCTAATCTATATTTATTATTTTAGAGTATTGAGACATATTTCTATTCCCAACTATATTTAGATATGGTTTTAGAATACTTTAATTGTGTGTGTGTGTGTAGGGGGGGGGTGTGTGTCTTCTCTGAATTCATAAGAACATAGTCTCAGACAGTCTTTAAGTTCAGAATTTTACAGTTTGTGATAGAGTCCTAGAGGCTGGCTATATTTCTTTAGCCATCAACACAACATCAGTTAGGAATTCAACCAAGGGCCTTACAAATCATGTATACTGAAATGCCTTTTCCTGAAGATATTCTGGAAGACTGTTAAGTGAATGGAACAGATCTGAACTGAGCCTGCAGCAGGGAGGAGCTGAAGCATAGCGGTTCTCTTCATCAGTGATGGGGTATTTCATCATGTTGTCTAAAAAAGACACATGCTTTTATCCTGGATCTCACAATTATCCTGGTTTCCCAAGTGATTATAAGCTAAGACCTTCTCATATGAAATCCCAGGATGACCTCATGTTTATGCTTCCTGCTTTCTCTGAAACTGGCAGTTTCTCGTGGGAAGAAAATGCATTGATACTTTTGTTTCATAAAGCAACCCAACAGCAGGCTTAGCTGTGATTTTATGGCAGTGATAAAGCAAAAACTATGATATCTCATACATCATCTTAATTATTTAAATTATTTTTGTTAGTGTACAAAATGATTCCTTATGCTATGTTTATATATGTGTACCATCTTATTTTCCTCACATGGCTTCATTTCTTCCCTTTTTATCCTCTCTCATCCTGCTGACTGCACTCCTCCCAAACAAGCTCCAGTGGTTTTAAAGCCATGTGCAGACCTTTTAACTCTAGCTTCTGCCTATTAGATAAAACATGATATTTGTCTTTCTCCCCATTGCCGTCTTTTTGGTTTTATTCTCCTCTACTCCTACATGGATCCCCCTCAACTTTCGTGTCATATATTTTTATCTATATAAATAATCAAGATTATTTTAATCTAGCTTCTGTATACAAAAGAGAACATAAAATGCTTATCTTTCTGAATCTGTCTTATTTTGTTTCACACAATATCTGGTTCTATTTTCCAGCAAATGGTATAGTCTCATTCTCCTTTATGGTTGAAGAAAACTTCATTGTGTGTGTGTGTGTGTGTGTGTGTGTGTGTGTGTGTGTATGGGTGTATGTGTGTGTATGTGTGTATGTGTGTGTATGTGTGTATATGTGTGTGTATGTGTGTGTATGTGTGTGTATGTGCATGTGTATGTGTGTGTGTGTGTGTGTATGTGTGTATGTGTGTATGTGCAAATGCATGTGTGTGCATGCATGCTCATGCACTAATATATATTTACTCTAACTGCTGATGAACATCAAGACCAGTGCCATATCTTAGCTATTGAAAATAGCGCAGCAAGTAACATTAAAATATAATTATTATCTGTTGCATGCTGGCTTAAAATCCTTCAAGTGAATAGCCCAGAGTTGACTAGCTGGATCACATGGTAATCCAACTTTTAGTTATTTTTTAATGTACAATTCTTTTTAAATGTTTAAAAATACTTATTTTTATTTTATGTGTACTGGTGTTTTATCTGAGCGTTTGTCTATACGCAATGGGCATGTACTGGTCTCAGAGCCAGATGAAAGCATCAGAGTGCCTGGAACTGGAAGTACAGATGTTTGTGAGTCACCGTGTGCATCCTGGAAGACCTGGAAGACCCAGGTCTTCTCCAAGAGCAGCCAGTGATCTTAGCCACTGAGCTATCTCTACAACCTCGTCACTAATTTATGAGGGACATCTACTGATTTGGAGTGGCTGTAGGCAATGCAATCTATGCAGGTTTCATTTTCTCTACACCTTTTCTAGAAGTTCTTGTTTGTTTTCTTAATGGTAGCCTTACTGACTGCTAAGATTTACAGCAACATTAGCAATCTGGAACTTGAAATTGACACTCTGCTTATTTTAGATGGCATTAAATTACCAACAGGGTCATGATCTGCTAATGTCTATGGGAACAAATGTCTACTGTCGTAGAATTTATCACAAATTAATGAAAACAAATTCCTTCTTTTGTTTAAGATTTGCAATTGCTTCTTTTCAAATTCCAGGGTTCTTATTGGTTCTCCTTTAGTTGGCCAACCCAAAGCAAGAACTGGAGATGTCTATAAGTGTCCAGTTGGGAGAGAAAGATCAATGCCTTGCGTGAAGTTGGATTTACCAGGTGTGTAAAATTAAACAGCCCATCCTAACTCATGCCTATTCTCACTGCACACAACTTTCAAGTGACCCAAGAAAAAACTAAACATAATAAATGATCACTCTCCATTTGACATCTGAAATTCATGTAGAATGACTCCCTTGGCTCCCTTGGTCCTTAATTTATTTCAGTAACTCATCAGGAAACGGGCGTAGCTTATTCTAATTGTAGCTTTACCTCTTTCCATCGTTCAGTATCCATTGAAAACAAGTGCTTTGCCAAATAGACATTAACTACCAATTTCCTCACACAAAATGCAACTTTGTATCCAAGTTTAAAAAGGAAACTGGATGAGAGAAATTACAGTAATTAAGAATATTAATAGTTTTTAAAGTATGGGACATAGGTATATCAAAATTGATATGTTTTGATAAAATATCATTTTGATTGTCATATGACTAGAAAATTATTCCTCAAGTTAGAGAGGATTTAGAGTTCTTTGTTAAAAATAATTCAATGATTTATGTCTACAAGTTCCCTGCAGACAATGCATCCTTCAGTTTCCTGTTTTCAATTTCTAATTGCTTTGCTCATTATGAATATTTTTCTTTACATTCATGAACACAGCTACCATAGATATTTGAATACCCTGTGCCTGATCATTGTAGCACCAAAGATGTCTCGGCATCTTTTCTGTCTGTTACCTTTCCTTGGGGTTAGAACACACACACACACACACACACACACACACACAATGTCTCCTTAATTATCATATTTTTAAATACAAATTGAATTTTTAATTATAAGTATAGAAATTCTTGTCTGTTATGTTCCTCTGAGTGCTCTTAATTTTTTTTTTATACTAGCAAGTAATATATTTGGCATGGCGCATCTCCAAGACTCTTTTTTTTTTTCAGTTAGAAGTTGTTAAAGTTGTATTTGGTTCTTTTTTATTTCCCCTAGGCTGGGTGAACTCTACTGTTCACATTGCCTATTCAGGCTATCCAGGAAAATAGACAGAATGCATAAACATATATTGTAATTGTCCTTATATGGCTTTTTCTCCAAGGTACTCCTCGTTCCCTTTTGAAGATGCTATCATTGACCCTAAATTTCTATCTTCTTTTTCTTCAAGGTAGTAAACCTAGAACTCCTGTTTGAATTTTATTACCTAATAGGGTATTTCTTTAAGGAGAAAAGAAACATAAAACCAAAATGAAACACCAAACCAGTTACTTAACCCAGTGTCAGCCTCTTCTTTCTAAGTATGGACTCTGTGCAGCATTTGAGCTCACGTTGCAATGCCTTCCGATGGTTGCTTTATGCATCTTTCCCTCCTCTTGTAGGATTTATACTGTTATTTACAAAATATTTTTTTTTGATAGGAACTAGTCCCCCATTCCTGGAAACTAGAATAGTTTTTAAACTAGCCCAGAGGCTTTTAAACTACATCAAGAACAGTAGGAAACATTTTCTTTCTTTTTTAAAAATTAGTTATTTTATTTATTAATATCCCAAATATTCCCCCCAACCTGGTCTCCCCTTACAAAGTTCTTCTCCCCATCTTCCCTTCAACTCTGAGAGGGTGCTTCCCCATATTCTTCAACTCTAGGGCATTAAGTCTCTACAGGGTTAGGCATATCCTCTCCCACTGAGGTCAGACAAGGCAGCCCTTTGTTATATATGTGCTGAGGACCTTGGACCCGCTGGGGTATGTTGGTGGCTCAGGCTCTTGAGCTCCCATGAGTCCAGGATAATTGATACTGTTGGTCTTCCTGTAGTGTCGCCATCCCCTTCAGGGCCTTCAGTCCTTCCCCTAATTGTTTCACAGGGGTCCCAATATCTATCCAATGCTTGGCTCTGGGTATCTGCGTGTGTCTCAGTCAGCTGCTAGTAGAGCGTCTCAGAGGACAACCATGTTAGGCTCCTGTCTGCAAGCATAACATTGTTGCCGTGCTCCTGGCAGGTGCGCGCCTCCTCTACACTCTCCCAAGTGTTTTGGATTCACGAATAAAACAGAGAGAGAGAGAGAGAGAGAGAGAGAGAGAGAGAGAGAGAGA